GTCGCGTCGCGTCGTCGTGGGTCGGAAGGCGCGCAGTTGCGCGGGAGGGCCCGGCGACCGTCCCGCGCGGTCGGAGCACGCGGTCGCCGCCGCGTCCTCGCGCGCCGCGGGGTCTGCGGTCGGCTCGCACAGGTGAGGGCGTGGCCGGTCAGGTGGCGGGCGCGGGACGACAAATATCTATTCTGCAACGCCTATACATATTTTAACTATTTTTTTAGGTGCATACGATTGCGAAATTAAAATATTCAATGTTCCAGTCACGTTTTTAAAATTTTAAAAAATTCTAAATTAATTACTTTTTATATTATGCGCTAAATTTTGCTCCTTTTTATTAGTTCTAACTTTGGGTTCTGGTTAGGAGTCATTCTTATTAATTTTAGAGATTGCAGCTTTCGAGCCGAAACTCAATTGAAAATAAACAAACGAAAGACAAACGAACTAGTTTTTTTTATTTCATTTTCTTGTAGACGTAAATAAGCTCTGAATTTAAGATCAAGTTTGAAATTACTCTGTTCGTTTCCAAGTTGCGAGATAATTGACAAGCTTAGACGTAAGCGAATTTCACATTCTGGCTATAGCTAGGAACTGACTTTGAGCCTTGATTTGAACTCATTCTGCTGACGTTGATGTGCTGCGTAGGCGGATGTAAGAAGTATGGTGTGTGTGGGAGGATTTTTGTTTTGGCTCTCCTTAAATATTTGTGGAACGTGAGATCCGACACCGACGAAAAGCGCGGGTTTGATGTTTTCCCACCCAAATATCTCAGCAAGCGCGACACCGTACTAGTCGGGATATTTTGTAAGCTCCCAACTAGTCTCGCTACGTATGTGTGGTGTTGTGTGTAAGGATAGGGATGAGGGAAGGCTGATTGCGCGCCGTCCGTGCCCAATTTGTTAGTATGCTGCTCCGGCATTCGCCTGGTTTGATCGGAGAAACCAAACTACTTAACAGAGCAGATGGTCGCTTGGATCGCTTGGATTCTCCTCCAGGGGGTGATAGATTTGACGTAGCTATGAAGCTAGTGTCGAACATCCGCCACCGTGGTGACTCGAACTCTGTGTGACTTCCGGCCAGAGACGCTGCTGCAGGAACAGTTATAGTGACTAAGCCATCTTAACCAATACTTCTATTGAGTATTACACGATCATTGATGGTATTTATTTTAAATATATTGTGTAAAATTAGAAAACTATTTTTTTTTTTTGTATTTGGGGAAACTGTGACCCACCTTCATGGGTCCGTCATAGCCAGGCTCGGGAACGGCGTCGGCCTGGCAAGCAAAATGAGGCGAGCGGTTCCGCGGTCTAACGAGAGCTTTTGCGCGTGCGCAGGCATCTCGACGCTGGTGAGCTGCGCGCAGCTGGACGAGCTGCCCGAGCTGCCGGCGCACGACGAGGAGCGGCTGCAGCGCGCGGCGCAGCTGCTCCAGCAGCGGCTCATCCTGCGCCAGTGGCTGGGCCAGCACAGCCTGCAGCACCACTACCAGAGGTGAGGATTCCTCTGGGAACATTTAAACTGCAGCTTCGTGGAATGCTAGGAAGGAAATGCATCGCTGATTGGAGAAAGGAAGAAAATCCAATTTTATCACAAATAGAGAAAAATATTAATTTTCATCTTAGGCACCGATCTCACCCACCGATTAGCGGAAAAAAGAATATCCGGGACAAACAATGAAGTTAGAACTTGCTAACATTTTCACTTCCTACATTCCGGCATTTGACATATACCAATTAAAACCCAAGCTACGTCTTTTCGGAATGGATAGATGGAGTGAATCATAAAACATACAGACTTATTTAGGGAAAAGAAACACCTTGTATTCTAAACAATGTGACATACTATTCAAAAGTTCTGATAAATTACAAAAAGTTGAAAGACGTTTAAAAAGCAATTAATATATTCCATCATAATATCAGAAGTTGTGTAATAACATACTTAAATGGCCCACAAAGAATGCTGCCGTATCTAATGAAGATTAGTCGTTTTTTGCTCTACATTTAATTAAAATCATTTACTTACTATGATGTATTACGTTTGAGACAATTTATGGAAATAAAATAGTAATAAATCAATGAAAATTTGAGAAAAAATATAAATAAACCAGTCCTTTTTTCAATTTCTTTGTAAATTACACACTGGAGAGTCATTCTTTTAAGAAAGGTAGAATGTCCGCCATTTTTAAATGAAGATAGATTCAAAAACACATATCAAATGTGTTGAAACGATTCATCATTAAGTAGAGGTAATTTGCCTCTACAAGTTTGTAATGCATCACAAAACTCTAGCAACAATATTGTAAGCGTCAGTATTTTTTTCTTATTTTTCTCGAAACATAGGTGCATGGACTTTCCTACTTTTTCCAATCAGCGATTCAATTAGGATGTTCTCGTAACTAACACGTACACAGGATTGTTCACCAAAATATTGCAGCCTTTTTATTATGGAACTGTAGAAAAGCGTAATGATCACGTTTCTTAAAAGGGTCTGTTCTGCTGTTAATATTACAACTAAGTGTACATAGTAATAATACAATTAATACTCGCATGTGCCTATAGTTCTTGTAACTTTCATTTCGACAGTTTGCTTTCCACAAGATTGTATTTTTTACTGGGGAATCAGAGAACAGACACAATCACGTTTTTGACAGGGACGTCCGGACAGTAATGTCATTGGTGCTGTGAATTCTATTACAACTTCGTGTTACCATGAGCAATACCCATTACTCTATTTACGTAACCATAACCGTTCCGTCACTTTCATTACGTAGACAACTCCTAAAATTAGCTACAGTTCTTCAAGAAGTATCAACTCTTGTAGTTAGGACATAAATTTGATTGAAACAATTGAACGAACGTGTGACTAAGCGACAATCATGGTTCATGATCAAAGTGTTCGCTTTCCATGTACAAGGGCGCCCGGCTACGAATCTTGCCTGAAAGAGGCAAGAGAAATTTGTAGCTTCAACAGTGCAGTAGCCTGTGTCAGTCTCTGTGCCTGGCGCAATAGAGAGTCTGCTGTGGATATGGGTTGTGCTGATGTGACAGTAATGGCATTCGTGCTGTGAATGCTATTACTCATAGGACCGGGGAGTGTTGCGATACGTTTTGAGTGGGTAGGAAATGCAGAGACCTTCCTCGCTTCCTCCGAATGCCTAGGACGCCGCATTGAGGTTACACTTCTAGGGGAGCTTTGGAGATCTAAACTGGCCTCAAGGGTTGTTCACTATACAGTAGGAGCCACGTGACTAATTTCTTTGACGCCTATTTAAAACAAATATAAGTGGATGTCTGGTGTTCAACATGTCGAAATAATTAGCATTCATGTGGTTGACAATCTTGTGTTGGGCCCTACTACTACTGTTTTATCATTCCTCGAACTGAAGAATGTTAGAATGAAGAACTTGGCGCAATGGAAATTCACAAGTGCACTCTAAAACTGTTTTAAAAAAAATTATGTTCATGTACATGCACGCAGCATAGTTATTGATTTAACGTTGGTCTGCCACGAATAATTCAAAGCGTTGTGTATGTTGATTGCGCGCGCTCTTTGCGATTTGGTGATCTGGGCTGGCCTCTGACGTGAATGACACCACTGTAATATCTGTATCAGAGAATTGATTTTGCAGTTATTCTAGAGATGGATCACGAACTCTCCGCTAACGGAACGCGCGGAATAACTCAGGAAACACGTCCCCTAAATTCTTAATGCTCATGCATACCTGACACTTTTACCCATTTTCAGCCGGTGTTCCGGCTAATCGGAGACGAAAAGTACACTCCGCGAAGCGATGCATTTTTTGGCGAAGTCCAACTATTTCAGAACTTTTCAAAAATCGATCCCTGGCCTGAAATAACTACACAAGAAGGCCGCCATGGCTTCGGTCCGAGAAGAAGCGCTCTTGATCTCGCTTGTATTAAGTGTTACTCGTACCCGTCTTACTGAGAATAATTTGTCGTATTGATTGGTGAAAAGATGTGTCAAAATTGCTTTTCATTTTAAATTCTGAATCTCTCTCGACTTGCAAATGAAGTGGCCCACAGAATTTTAATGTTTGTTGAGACTATAATTTAATGTATTTATTAACACTAAGCTTGGTCAAAGTGTGGGGCCCCTCATTGTATTGAAATATTCACCACATTTCACCAACATGAATATAAACATCAAAAACCTTTGGAACTGATACTTCAAATATAAAAATATTTGTAAACTTGTGAATGTAAAATCCTATTAAAATAAAAATTTAGGTCCCTAATCCAACGGGAGGGCGAGCCACAACCTAAGTTTGCTTGCGCACTAATCCACCCAGCCACTCCTGATTTCGGTGTTCACTCTGTCTTAGGCAGCGCCAAAACAAGGCTTGTAAAACAACGATTCAATTCAATTGAACGATGCCTTATTTTACTGTGCAAGAGTCAGGCCATCAGGCCTGCTCTTCCGTCTGACCACCCCAATTTCACTTCGTTCCTGTCATCACCGAGCGGAAAAAGAAAGTATAACTTGAGCGACGAGGTAATTAGAACTTAGCTGGGAGGCTTCTTATACATGCAGTAAATTTACAACATGGGACAGCCGGTTTTACTTCCCTTCTGAAGGAAGGCGTACGAAGAAATTTAAAGGCGTACGGACGATTGTAAAATAATATTGTTTGGCAGTCAGGAAGATCTACCGGGACGATAGTATCAGCGATGGCGAAGCGTCTGGCCGGAGAGGCAACTCGTCAAATGGATGATGCAGCACCGCGGTGTCTTTCGCAAACCGTGTGTTTACTGGTCAGCTATGTATTTGTAAATCGCGCGGCAAAATGAAGCAGCGTCATTGCAGCAAAATTCAGTTCGTTTGAACCAGGAATTACCGTTTGACCCATGCGACAGTGACGTACCTACGTAACATTACTATAAAATCAGAAATGTACTACTTAGTTTGTCGATGCGCATAAATTGACAATTGCACCTGAGCAAACATTTCTGGTTGTCAAGTGTTGGTAACCGCGCTTTGATGATAAGTTTATTCATCATACAACTATGTACAGTAAAAGGGTGGGAGAGGAATTCTAAAGCCCAAGAAAACTTTCGTAGATAAAAAGCTCTCTATGCCTCACATACAGCTGTTACGGTTTCTTTTGACTATAAATGAATCAAACCTTGTGAGTGAAAGTGTCACGAACGAAATTCTTAAGCTCTTGATATATCCAGTTTACGTATTGGTGCCTGTAGAGATCACGTTGGGACGCACCTTCGACCTGGTTTAACTGTTTTCGACGTTAAATAAGTAAATCATACTGGACTCTTCTCCTTTGGGGTAAATCGCGGCGTAAAGTCGTGCATCGAACTTTCGATCAGGATACAGAGGTATAGATATGCAGAGCTATTTGCGTGTAAAGAATTGAAGTATTTTGACACACGATACACCTGCCACACGATCAACCACACGATACTCGTAGATACAACTACATAAATAATATCCCGTATAGTATTCTTATGTTCCGTTCAGATACCCCAGAAACACAACCAATTTTATATACTGATGGTTATTAAGTCTTTGGACTTCCCAGAAAAACCTGAAATACGATACTGTGAACATAATTTGAGTGATATATTTGGTATGCGACTTATTATGTCGATGCCAAATTTAATAACTTTATCGCTCGGACATTAATTTTTTTTAGTTAAGCATTCTTGACTGACATATTACGTGATTTTTGAGAGTAATTTTTCCATTATTATTCATGCTACTACATAATAGAAAAGATATAAGAATAAATAGTAAAACAATTTCACACAATATTGTTTTATCTATCGTTCAACTTGAAAGACTTGAAAAAACAAAGAAAGTACAAAAACCACATCAAGCGGTGACGCATTAATCTGATTTTAAATATGAGTTTTTTTCTATTTAAGAAAATTAACTATCTTGGTACCACTTTTATATACATTTTTATTACATTTAATATGAATGAAATAATATCAATAACTATTGAATCAATTATCACAATAGTGTTCGTGTTTAATAAAGTTTCTATTGATAATAGTAAATGAATAACTATTGAATCAATTACCACAACTTTGGTTGAATTAAATCAAGTTTCCTTTATTTTTTAAAGCAAATGCTGTGACAGAGTCTTTTTTTGCAACTGTAAAGGTAATATCCCTAAATGGTATCTTCATTCTTTAAATCTTGACGTAGAAATAATAAAATCAATAAAGGTACAGGCTAGAGTCAATCATGTGTTGATGTGTTTCCAAATATGAAAGTAGGGTGGTGCCAGAAAATATTTCAAAGGGCGGAGGTAAATTCAGTCCGGAACCCTCTGCCTATAAATAGTTTTGAAACAATACAAAAATTAATGGTTTGCTTGAAAAAAGAATTCATAATGGAAAAACAACTTCGGAACGTAATGCGGTCAACATGTGCTAATTGTTGACTAAGTTGAGTAAAATTACGCACAGATTTGGGATTGAGAAAAGTGCCATTAGTCGCCATGCCTCCTCCCTGTTTCAGTCTCCAGTCAAAATAATAAGTGTGTTTCTGTAGCATTCAAAAAGATGTCATAGAAGCACCAGCTACTACCGTGGCCTATTTTAATGTTCATGTAACGTGACAAATTAAGCCCCGTCCAAACAGTGGGAGCAGGTGTTCCTGCGGGTCTGTACGGTCGACGCTACAGAAGACAACCGCTGTGATATGCGTGTAGCTGCGGAGTTGCAAAGGAAAACAACAAAGCCAGCTGCAAACTTCTCAACGCTTCGCCGACTCGCAATCCACCCCTGCAACCGAACGCAGCATCCTTGTAGCTGTAGCTACGCCTCACGGACGCTGCATCGTCTAAACAAATCCGGGATAGGACTCGTCGTTAGAGCGATGAGAGTGTTTCCAACGTTAACAACTATAAACTCATCTGACTAATGTACTTGAAATCGCATCGGCTGCTGTCCGTCAACTTCCCTTCTGCCTTTCAACGTGTTCAAACCACGCCTTGGGAATCGGCAACAGTCGATGGCGTCACACACACACACACACACGGTACATATTGCGTGGCATCAGTTGAAAGTCGTGTAGCCCAAACAAGCGCCGTCCTCAAGGACGTTTTCTATGCGTTGCATCTTTAATTGTATTCTAGAATACGGGATGTGTCGGCCATTTCACTCCCAGTGCAGCCGCATTCTCGACTTCAGTGAAATACTTGTAGTTAAGACAGATCGATCCAGGCGATCCTGGGGGAGAACTGAAGGGGTCGGTGAAGGGAGGACTCACCCTCATTTCATAAGTCTAAAATGAAGATCTTAAAATATCTCGTGTAAACGTGATCGAAATGCTGCACAAATGTGTTCATAGAACTTCACAGTGAATAGTATAGAAAGTGTTTATAGAAAGCGGCAATATGTGTACTCAGAAACTAAGCCACGTATGGATTCATAAAAACTTTTTTTTTAGCTGACAAAAATTACAGGCGTGAGTTAGCACTAACTTCGCCTGACCCTTTAAATCTGAAGGCCTGGTGCTCTGACCGGTTATTTTCTTCCAATAAATACGTTTTCTCCATTAAATTCAAGGGGGATGGCCGATCCCAGCCTTCTATCCTTCACCATTCTGTTCTTACTCCAAGACCTGGCGATGGGCTTTTACTATGTTCCACAATGGCTATTAAACTACACCAAATACAACAAAGTCTTGCAATAGTTTTCATTAAGTGCGTATTTCCAATGTCGCAAGAAAGTCACGACGCATCCGAACGACCGATACGAGATACGTGTTCAGGCAGGAGTTCCAAATGGCAACAATCTTACAGTCTTCGTGACACGAGCCAAACCTCAGGAACTGAAGCAACGGATGCGTCATCAATGTAATAACAGAATTCGAGGGAAATATTCGTGCAGTTCCCCAAAACACATTTCCAATGTAACATCTTTTAAATAAACAGAAATATATGGTGTACTCAAATAACGACTAAAGTGACGGCATTATTCATGAACTTACTTTCATCAATGTTCATGCGCACATGAATCAAGTCATAGCATGGTAAAACCAATCAAATGTTATCGTAGGCAATATGACGAGTACTTTGGA